ACAACCTTTGTATAATAGAACCTTCTGTAACAACTACTATTACACATAGTGCCAACTACTCCACAATGGACCTCCTTTTGGAAATTCCTAATCAAGACCTATAGTAGAGAAAGTTGACCTTTATAAAAACTGCTCTGTTGAAGTCACCTCACTACAGGTTACTACTCTTCAGTATTAAAAATAGATAAAGATATAGATAAAACTAACTATTTAACTTTAGATTTGTATATATATATATATATATATTTTTTTTTTTTAATACGAGGTCTTTTCCTTATTTCTTTTATTATCTATTATGTGTATGAATACATATTATTTTATATATAATTCTATTAAGGGAATAAGGAATAAGCTATTTTATTTCAGACCTAAGTATACTAGTAGGATTACTGCCTCTAGACTTGTGATTTAAATTTGACAAGAGTTAATATTATGATAGATATATATATCAATCCATTTTGTAAGTCTATTGTTATTGTTGGCTATAGTAGTAATGTTCTGATTTTTAATTGATTGATTGTTAGTTGGAGTGATGTTGTTTGTATTTAACTGACTTTGTATTCAGCTAGAAAGCCAAATTAGCTTGTGTATGTCTTCAGTGAGTTCATAGTAGAATTGTGGGGCGAAATGTTTAGTGTTTGATATCATAGAAAAAGATAGTAGTTCTTCTGAGTAGATAACTCCAATTGGTAGGCCCTTTATGAAATGGCTCCATATAAACCCATCGATAAAAGTATACTGGTTGTTAATTGTTAAGTTAAATTTGTTAGTAAATTTGTTTAATAAGTTGATTATTATATCTTTAATTTTTTCTTCATTCTTATTACAGTTTAACTAATGAGTGTCATCCTCGGAGGAGTGGCCACATCTTCAGCATTCTGGTAATTGGTATTTGAAAGAGTAATAGCTATATAAGTTTTGATAGTTAGGAAGTTCCTGTATGATTAGCTTGATTTTGAAGTTTTTGATTTTAGATACTTTAGGGTCTGTAGAGCGATTTGTAGGTTTATTATTTACTTGTAAATAATCAAATATAAGGTTCTAATTAATGTTGTGGTGTTCGGTCCATTTCTGAACTGTGTTAAGATATAAATTTGTTAATGTTAATTGCTATATTGGTTTGTTTAATTAATTCTTTGGTATTAATAAAGATTGGAGTGTTGTGATAAAGAGTTTGATAGTAAATAGTATTTAATTAATTTGTATTCAGATCTACTTGAAGTATTTGTAGTTGTTAATTGGGTTTTTTTAAAAATTTCTTTTTTGTGAGTGTTAATAATAAGTATTTGGAGATTGTAGCTGCTCTGATACTAAGTAAGAGTTTGCCTAAAAGTTGACGAATAAGTTGCTCATAAGTTGTAGGTGCTGTGTCAGTTAATTTGTTGTTTAACTTGTTTAATGTTAATAAGTTAGTTGAAATTTTTAGGTGGGTATTTGCTAGTGCAATTGTAATAAGTGTGAAGAGTACCATATATGCAATGTTTTCTATGCTTGGCCAGTATTTGTTTTGGATTGCTAGTTGTGTATTTGTATTAGTTAATCCTATAGTACAAATAGGCACACTATATTGTGTTTGTTTGACAGAAGATATTACTAGATTTGTGGTGACTTCCTTTTGTGATGGGTAATTGAAATAATGATTCCATATAATTTCTTGGTATTGTCTAAATGCTGATGCTAGTTGTTTGTTAGCTTGGTGGTTATGTGAGGTAAAGCAGGGTTGGGTCAGGGTTTTGGTGATACTTGAAGTTTCCGGTTGAAGTTACATATGAGTCCATGCTATTATTTTTTGAAGTCAACCTGGATGGTGAATGACAATGTTGATGGTTTCCAAAAGAAGCAATAAGTGTTTTGTGTGGTTGGGTCATGGAGAGTGCATTGTTGGTAGCTTTTAAGTGTATTAGTAGTGTGATCAAGAATCCAATGCCTGATTTTGTAGTGATTCTTTTTAATAGAAGTTATTTTTCCAAATGTTAGATTAGTGGTGATAATTTATTTGTTCTTCCCGGATTGTTGTCTCTATATATAGGGATTGGGGTAAGTTAAATTATTTAAATCGTTAATTGTAGTATGTATCAATTGGGTTAGTTAGGAGAACCATTTTGGTATTCTACCCTGAGGGATTTTGCCGATATTGTGGTGAAATTGTGACTAGTTGATTACTTCAGTGTTATTGAAATTGAGAAATTGTTTGATGTTACAGATATGGTGGGTATTTAATTGGTGTTTAATCTTTGTTGTGTTTTTTAATTTCCACACGAATGGATTGATGGTATGCTCTTCAGATTTATATACTATTAGCTATAGGTTTAGTTTCCTTTGCTACTGTATGTTTGTATCATTGGCGTTAAGGATTAATTTTGTTGTAAAGCTTTTTGATTGTTTATATGTAAATATGAGGTTAGATGTGAGTATTAATTGATTAGAAAGCAGCTACCGCCTCTGAAATAATGATGTCCTCCACATTTTGTGGACCATTTTCAGAGGAGAATGATGTAAGTAGGCGGGCAGGA